TTTTTTAAAAATAGGAAACTATGTAATTTTTTTGGGAATTTTATATTACACACTATATAGTTCAAAAGAATCCTTTGAAAATATTAAACTGCCTCTCTGTTTCTGTAAATATATTTTCGAATGCACCCTTTGCATCACACAAAAGCGAGTAAATTTGATGCCACTTTATAGTCAAATTAACATTTATGATATATATATATATATCTCTGGGAATGTGATATAATAAATTGCTTGAAAACCATTACAATAATAATTCCGGAGATGTAACTTTCGGTAAAATTATGCGGGAAAATAGAATCATGTCACCTTTGCATGTCAGATTATAATAGATATGCATCTCCAGAAAAATCAAAAGTGAAATTACTAAAAACAGAAACCTGCATGATCAACTTCATTTGTAATATTTTCCTTAAATCCTCTCCAAATACTCTTCCATTCTCAATCAAGTTTTTCACTCCAAATCTTCATTATTGTGTTTCATCAAATCAAAAGGAGTTAAAGGAAGTGAAATTTAAGGTAAATTTCATTCATTTCAACCCCATTTCCTCACATTAATTTGGTCGTATAATTGATTCAATGTATAATACCAACAAGTACAAGATTCCATTATTGGAAATGGTTGGTGTTACGTCTACTGAGAAGACATATTATGTCGGTTTTGCATTTCTAGAGTGTGAAAAAGATGACAATTTTTTCTTGGCCTTTAGAGGTTTGTCGATCAATGTTGAAGCCGAAAGTAATTATTACCAACCGCGATACCGCTTTAATGAATTCGATTGAAAAGGTATTTCCTACTTCTTATACATTACTTTGTAGTTATCACATTACAAAGAATGTAAGAAGTCGGGTTAAACTCGTGGTAGAGACAAAACAGATAGAGGCCGAAGATGGAAAAATGGTCAAGGCGAATGTTTTATGGAGAAATTTATAGTTGTATGGAATGTTATAATAAATGCATCTACAAAAGACTCATATGCTGATGTTGTTATACATTTCAGGAAGGTGTGCATGAAATATCTCAATTTACTGAAATATGTTGAAAGCACAATTTTGGACCAGGTAAAGGAGAAGATTGTTTGTGTTATATCTAAGAAGGTGAAACTTGATAGCTTGATACGAAATGGACTAAGTCTACAGTCAATGGAAGAGGCTCATTTTGGATGATTATGGTTTTATGAAAGACGGTAAATCGAATATCTCCATCTTGACTGAATGAGAAGCGACACAAAAAAGATTTTTGACTGCTGATGAAAACACAAAACTCTACATCAAAGAGAAATTGAAGAAGATTGCATTTTTAGATATCACACTTGAAGCCATCATCTCAACCGATAAAAACAATAGAAGTACCTAAGAAATTCAAACCTATAATGAGTGACAATTTAACAATGAGGAGTTATCATATTTTAAACACGTTGACATGATTTTTCCCAATTCACCGACTCCAAAATCTCAGAAAAGTGTTTTCAAATGAGATCGCATTAGCAAACCACCTCCACTAAAAATATCATTCGTTGAGTAGATGTTAGTTTTAATGCATAATTACATTGAACGAATCGTCAATGTCAAGGGTGACAGTAACTGTGGTTTTTGGGATGTTTCTGCTTTAGTTGATAAAAAGGAAGAGGATCACACACTTGTCCGCCATACTCTTATCCATGAGTTGAGGAGCAATAAAGAATTATACACACGAGTGTTTGGGAAAAAAGAGAAAGTTGAAGAAATTTATCACTCTCTTGTACCTTACATTAGTGGACATGCACCAGAGGATAAATGGATGTGTTTCCCTAAGATGGGTCATCTTATAGAAAGTTCGTATAAAGAGTATGTATTGGTCTTACAATATACGGCTTCTCGGAGAAAAAAAATTCCCATTGCGCACTGCTCTGCCACCAAATCTCAGTGATCATATCATCTGTGTTGGGTGGATTTCAAATCCGCGATATTTTGTTCAAGTGTATTTGAAACCGGGATGTCGTATACCACTTACATCACCGGAATAGACAACTCATTATACAATCAAATCTGAGACTTGACCGAACTAATTTATTGAAAGGATGCAAGAGTACACCAAATTGGGCAAAATTGAAATAGAAAAAATAAAGAAAAGTCAAAGGGGTACCACATGTAGATTTGGCCGGAGTTAATTATTTCGGTTCATTTAATTAGTTATTTATTATTTTATTGTAAGTGAAATTTTGTTAATGTATTATTGTGTCTAATTTATACATTTTGTAGTTTGTCAAAAAACTTCGGCATTCAATACAAGTATTTGCATGTTCTGTTTTTGTTTGTTATGCTACAGAAGATTTTGAAAATACATCTCTGGAATAAAGGGTGGTTCCAGAGTTATATTTCTGGAACATTTTCTATCACAAGATATGATTTGAGGTCCATGTTAGCCTCCAACTACTATAAATAATCTCACTTATCATATTGTTTCATACCAAAAACCAAAATGAACATCATTTGACATGTTGGAAATGTTCACTTTACCAGCAATACACCATCAAGAGAATTTAAGATTATCGAGTTCTTGAAGATCAACAATACACACTACAGAACCTTCTATCATACCACGACAATCGGAAAATTATGAAGATCGAGTATCGTTCTCCATGCTTTGACAAAGAAAGGGAAGCTCAAGTTCAACAACCATGAGCTGAAGACAACCGATGATTTACGGGTTATGTGGAAAACATCTTCTGTTTAGAATCAAAAGTTCCGATCGAGTTGGATGCGACTGTTTCAAGATCAATTGATGATATTATCAAGATGTTACAGCGTCCATCTAGATATTGAAGTGTAATGTTTGATCTATGTTAAAATACATGATGTATTATTGATTTTATGATATCAATGGGGATTTTAATTTTGTCAAGTTGGTGTTTCTCAATTACTTTTTCTTCCTTCTGCTACGCAAAATTTTGAAAATAGACATCTGACATTATTCGGGATATGTATCTCCAAAATAATTAGTGTTTTAGTAAATGTTTGGTGCATCCGAAGATACATCTCAAAAATCTGGAGCCTTTTAGTATTTTCACGCGGTGCGCTAGAAAGTCATGGGGTGCATTAAAAAAATTCTCTTTTTGTGAATTCATCATGTTTTGGGATCAGATGCCTAATAATAAAAAGGCTCAATCGTTGACCCAAAATCATAAGGCGCTTGATGTGAAATGCACACGCGATCTCCAAACCCATATTCGATAGATATCACTAGTTGTCTTTCGTCGTTGGATACTAAATAATAGTTCTTTGCATTTCGTCATTGGATACTAATTAATAGTTCCTTGCATATCATTCCGAAAAACAAGAGAATCTCTAACCGCTCCTCATATATAAGGATTCTCAAGCAAGATCTGAAACATGTTTTAATCATAATTTAATTTGACATAATTTTTCATTGAACGATCAACTTAAACATTTAAATATTAATTTTATATTTAAAGACTAACTTGAACGTTTTAGTATTAATTTTGCAAGTTAATCTCTCGTCCACCATAGAACAAGTTTGCTCCACCATTTCATACCTTCATTGCACATTTCTAACTCCTCCGTATAGCACATCCTCTTATTAAAACTTTAACACTTCTTTTAACAAATTCTTACATCATTAAAGATTATCATTAATTGTTCCAACAAATTCTTAAACAATATCTCAAACATATTACTAATGCTTTTCAATAAAGAAACACGTCACATTATTAGGGATGTCAATGGGGCGGGGCGGGGCCGGGGGGACACTTCCCCATCTTTTTCCCCGCCATCAAATTTATTCCCCGTCCCCGTCCCCGATCTCCGTCATGGGGGAATTTCTATCCCCATCCCCGTTCCCCGCGGATCCCCGTTCCCCGCGGGGATCCCCATAGATCCTACATTTATTCATTAATATTTTATTTTTTTAAAATGTTTATATTTTCTATAAAAATAAAAAGCACAAAGAATTCACATATTTATTATGTTATTAAAAAATACTAGTATTTGACATTTATTATTTTTTATTAAAAATACTAATGGATATTTATTAAAAATGAAACGCTTCAACTTTTTTAGGGTCTAATATTTACATTTCTCTCTCTTAATAAATACATGAATATTTATTTATTTATTTTTATAAATAAACATAAAGGAAATGACTAAAAAACCTAATCTAAAATATATATATATTAAATTAACTATATTAAAATAATAGGCGGGACGGAGTCCCCGCGGGACGGGGGGTGTATTCTCCGTCCCCGTCCCCGAAATGCTCTCGGGGGAATTTTTCTCCCCATCCCCGCCTCCACGGAGGAAAATTCCCCATCTTTGGGGCCCCGAACGGGGCGTTCCCCGCGGAGATCCCCATTAACAGATCCAAACTGACATCCCTACACATTATCAAAAACATATTTTTTTTTAAAAATAAATATAGTATAAGCATCGTAACCATGCAAATATTCATTCATTATCTACTAGATTAAAAAAACAAATCTATTAATTGCCATCTCTAATGACACAATCTTTCCCAAAGATTTCAATTATATTTAGTCCTATCACAATGAGATCATCAAGAATTAACCACGATTAGTTAATTATATTTGAATACAAAATGCATGTATCTATCATGATATAATCATTCAAAATATAAGCATTTATTATAAAGTAAAACTTTTCCATAAATAATTAAAAATTGTGGCAGCCTCCAACCATCCAGTCAAAATCAAACCAGCTACTGCTATGTTTTGTGTGGGGTTATACACATAAAATAGAAGGGTGGTTCTTAGCTACTTCAAACTCAACTACTCCACCATTTTTTCACCTCTTCAATATTAATTTTTCATTTTCATATCATATTATATATTATATAATTATAATATTAATAGTACTCTAGTATTATTATAGTTTTCTTCTTTTATTATCTCACTCTTTCTATCTCTAAAGTCTAAAAATTTCTTTCAATATTCTCCAACATATCATTATTTGGTTTGCTTCTAAATTGCAAAACATAGAGAACAAGAATGAAGGTATGATTCACACTTTCTAAGTTTCATTCTTGTTTATTCTGTTTTCTTTTTTATTGTTGATTCCTTTTTTATTCTTTATGCTCCACTTTTTCTCTTTTTTCCTTCTTCTTCCTTTCTTCTCATATTCTCTCTCTTTTTCTCATTATGTAAAGATCTAGGATAGTCTAAAAGAATTTAATGACCCTTTATAAGAATCCATGTTTTCCAATAAAGTATAGAAAATTTGGTTGGTAGAAAAAATATTTATTTCAATTTCAAGTGTATATAATTTTTTAATTTTTGGTTGGATCAATATTTTTTTTTTCTTCAAATCAAGGTTTGTTTTAATTATGATTAAAATTTTAAGATAGTTTATGATTTTTACTTGCAGAAATTTGTACTCAAGTTAGAATTGCATGATGACAAAGAGAAGAAGAAGGCTCTCAAAACAGTCTCAACTCTTTCAGGTACAAAATCATTATTCAAGTTTTTTTTGTGTTTCTATTCTCTTAAAAAAACGGATTAGAGTATAAATTGTTATCAAAATTTATTGGTTTAATTAAAGATCTCTACAATCTTGAACTAACTTCTATTGATTATTGCATAATTTTCAACCTTGATTCTTTGCTTCTCCAAACATCAGTTATTAATTTAATCTAATAATTGAGATTTAATAATCTCGTTGTTAAATTAATCTAATAATCGAAATTTGCTTTTAAGAAATTCAAAAGATCTAGTAAAATAGTTCAATTCAATTCAGATGATCTTTTATTATTATGTTTCGTTGTGATTCAACTCGAATAAACGTCTTATTTATCTTAATGTAGCAATAGTCTAATCAAATAAAAATAAATATAGTATAATTTTTGTATTAATTTTGATAGATATTTTCTAATTTTTATTTTAATATTTTATTAGGGATTGATGCCATTTCAATGGACATGAAAGACAAGAAACTGACAGTGATAGGAACAGTAGATCCTGTAAATGTGGTAAGCAAATTGAGAAAATTCTGGCACACAGAAATAATAGCAGTAGGACCAGCCAAAGAGCCAGAGAAGAAAGAAGAAGCAAAGAAGGAAGGAGAGAAGAAAGAAGAAGGAAAGAAAGAAGATGGAAAGAAAGAAGAAGGGAAGAAAGAAGAAGATAAGAAAAAAGAAGCAGCTCCACCACCACCAGATCCTATTCAAGAATGGGTTAGGAATTATAGGGCATATAATCCATATATGACAACACATTACCATGTTCAAAGCATGGAAGAGAATCCCAATGCATGTGTCATTTGCTAAATAATAGAAGAAAAGTTTGAGTATGGTAATGGATTTGGATTTAATTATCTTTTCTCTCATAGCCTCATATTATCATAGGTGGCCACATGCTATTCAACAATGTAGAAGCTACTTGTAAATAATATATGGTTATGCCTTGTTGAGACTTTATTAATATGTGTAGAGAGAAAGAAATAAAATTTTGGAAATTTTGGTTTTGTAATAAATGTTATTTATACTCTTTTTATTTTTATTTTTCATGTATTAGTTAATCATAGGTGATTAAATGGATTGTTGTGTTCAAACTCGTGCGGTGTGTTTTGATTTTCTTGAACATAGAGGTGACAAAATTGATCTGACATGCTAGACATGTCTCTATTGTTGGAATGAGATACGTTTGAAGATGTATTTCGGCAAAATTTATGAGGGTAATTTCGAATTTTCAGAGGTGTAAGTTACATCATAAGGATGAGAAAAGAAATTGTCTTATACTTATATGGTATGTTGTGTAAAGATACTAATTCAAGTGTTATAACCAATTAACATGAGAGTGTAGCCGGTTACATGGAGGTGAAAAGTACTATTGAATAACAGAAAATACTTTTGGCGTTGGCGTAACCGGTTACGCAAACGCAGTAGCCGGTTACATCCGATAGTATTTTTGAGTTTTGTAACAGTTGTAACTAACCCCAACAATTTGTGTTTCCTGCATTTTAGCTTGATATTTTAGTATCCCAACTATTGAATATAGTAGTATGTGTGTATTGTGTCATTGAATCATTATAAAAATTTTACCCTCAATCATCTCTCTCTCTCTCTCTCTCTCTCTCTCTCTCTCTCTCTCTCTCTCTCTCTCTCTCTCTCTCTCTCTCTCTCTCTCTCTCTCTCTCTCTCTCTCATCTCTTACACTCTCTTTCTCTGCACACCAAAATCCTTAATTATTCACCAATTATATAATTGCATGCTCCAACATTTGGCGTCAAGAGCCAGGTTCTGATTCACAAATACCTAGTGTGCGACATGAATTATGTCTCCAACAATAGAGTCCTTACAAAATTACCAACTCTTGATGCGAAGAACTATGACAAATGGCGCATGAAAATGAAGGTGTTGTTTGGCTACTAAGATGTTCTTCAAGTGACCAAGAATTAGGTGAATTCCCTTGTTGAAGGTGCGACGGATGCATAGCGAGCAACACACAAGGAAGAAAAGAAGAAATATTATAAAGTGTTGTTCTTGATCCATCAATGTGCGGATGGTGACAACTTTGATAAAGTTGGTGATTGTGAATCGGAAAAGGAAGCGAGGGAAATCTTAGAAAAGGCATATGCAGGGGTTGATAATGCAAAAGTGGTGAGGTTACAAACTTACAAGCGTCAATTTGAATTAATTTAAATGGAGTAAAAGGAGACGATCAACAATTACATGATGTGAATTACGCGATTGGTGAATCAAATTAAGTCTTATGGAGAAATTGCTACTGAGTAGAATGTTATGTCGAAGATCTTGCGTTCTTTAACGATAATATTTGACATTGTAGTGGTGATTGAAGAGTTGAAGGATCTTGCAATGTTGAGCAAAGATGAGCTTCAAAGCTCTCCTAAGGCTCATGAGCAAAGGATGGAGGAGAGAAAAACATCCAGGAAAAGGCAGAGATCGCTTTGCAATCACGGTTCAATGAGAAAAACAAGAAGTCGAAAGAAAAATGGCCCATGGAGAGTTATGAGAATTTTCAGAATTTTGGTGGAAAAAGTCCAAAAACTTGAAGAGTTCGAATTTTCAAAAGGGTGAGAACAACTGCAAAAAAATGGTGGCCAGGGAAACTTTAGAGGCAGGAGAGGAAAGATTGACATGAGCAAGGCAAAATGCTTAAATTGTCAAAAGTTCGGAATGCGAACAAGATGGAATCTTAAGGAGATGAAGCCAAGGTTGCAAGACAAGAGGTGGATGATGATAATACACTCTTGGTCATGATCATAGAAGGTGAATGCATCAGTAGTAGGCTGCGGGACATTGGCAACATCAGTTCCGAGAGCGCTGTCGAAATGTATGCAGACGAAAATGTTATGGTGACTGTGAGAGAAGGAGTCTAGTGCTGCGAGGAATGAAACTTGGATTCTGGTTGTTCTATACATATAACATATAGAAAGGATTGGTTTGTAAAAATTAATCAAGCCACGAAGAATAAAGTGAAATTCACATATGACACAATTTTAGTAGTCGATGGGATCAGTGATGTTTTGATCATGAAAGTAGACGAGGACATTCCTTGATCAAAGGTGTATTGTTCATTCTTGGAATCAAATGTAACCTTCTAAGTATTGGTTAATTGGTTGAGAAGTGTTACAAGATTCACATGGAAGACAAGACGATACGCGTTATGGATGCAAACAAGGTTTTGGTCCTTAAAACTCCTATGACGGCCAATAGAACTTTCAAGATTGAGTTGAAGGTTATGGAGCACATGTGTCTTGCTTCAATGGCAAGTCAAGAAGAATGGTTGTGGCACTACTGTATTGGGAATCTCGATTTTTGAGATCTCAATGCATTGCAAAATAACAAAATAGTAATCAGGTTCCCAGACATCAATATACCTGCTGATATTTGTGAAGAGTATGTGCAAGCGAAGAAACACAAGGATAAATTCAGCAAGGATGCAGGTTGTAGAACCAAGCATCACCTTGAGGTGGTGTATTCTAATGTGTGTGGGCTGATGCAAGTTGATTCGTTTGGTGGCAATAAGTGTTTTGTCACTTTTATCGACGATTATATTAGAAAGCTACGGGCATACATAATCAAGAGAAAGGATGAGGTATTTGAAGTGTTTAAGAAGTTCAAGTCCATGGTTGAGCGGCAAAGCGATCACAAGCTCAAATTTCTCAAAATGGATGGTGGAGGCGAGTATGTCTCAAATTACTTTGGGACGTTATGTGATGAAGATGGGATAGTGCATGAGATAGTACCACCATATACAACATAGCAAAATGGTGTTGCAGAGAGGAAGAATCAATCGATTATGAACATGGTGAAAATCATGTTAAAAAGGAAGAACTTGCCAAAAGAGTTATTAGGAGAATAAGTATCCACAACTTCATACTTGTTGAATATATGTCCTACAAAGAAGCTTGAAAAGATAACACCAAAAGAGGCATGATCTGGATTCAAACCGAACCAATTGAGAGTTTTCGATTTCATGGCATATCCACATGTTTCTCACCAAATTAGAAAGAAGTTGGATGACAAATTGGATATGATAATACTTGTAGGGTATCATGTAACACCCTAATTTTTAGAAGTTGTTTATTTAATTAATTATTAGGAGTATTTATGAATAATTGATGTTTTATATGATTATATGTGTGATGTGTCGGTATGAGGTTGTGCATGATGTGAATTATGATGATTAGAAGTATTAGAATGGTCAAATAATTATTTAGTAATTATTTGTATTATTATTGAGAATATAATAATAGGAATAATTATTTAAATGGTTATTTTAATTAGAGTGGTGTGTTGGTAATTAGTAGGAAGAGTGAGGACGTGATGGTAAATAGAGGTTGACTAAGCGGGGGAAATTGAGGAAGATATTCGGGGTCCTTTGTGATGACAGAGAAGAGATAGTTGTTACTCACAATCAATCGTGAAAGTTGGATCATCGTAAGAGGCACGAAGAATGTAATAAATCACTCGAAGAAATAAGGTAAGGAGTGTTTATCTGATTATTATATTTGATTTAAGTGGTAGATAAAGGTAGGGTTTGCCTTACGTTTCATAGATGGTGATTCGATGTTGTTTGATGCATAATTGATAGATTAGTGATGAATAATGACCCTTAAATGTTTTTTAATTGATGTAGTATATTAAGTTGTTGATAGATGATGAATCCCTATGATTAGATGATGTTTTAGGACCTATAAGGTTGTGAAATCGCAGAAAAATCATAGAAAAATTCAGCACAAAATAGCAGGCGTCGACTCAAAGAGGTTATGCATCGACTCATGTAGGTTCAAGACTCAGTATGTGTTGACTCATTGAGTCGACCTGAGCATACCCGGGGCAGACAGAATACCTATGCGTCGACTCAAAGGGGGCATGCGTCGACTCAAGCAATCCAATTTTTGACAGATTTTTCGAAAGGCCGTAACTTGAGTTTCCGGACTCCGTTTGAGGTGCCGTTCGAAGCATTGGATAGATAAATCGGTGAAATATATTTATAAGGAGTAAAATTAAGAATAATAAGGATAATTCTAGTACCCAAGTTAGGATAGAATTATTTTTCCCGTGTTGAATCGCTATGATGTTTTATGGTAATGAAGTATGATGATGATATGACGATCTCATGATAATGTTTTGTTCATAATGATGATATGTTGTTAATATGATGGTTCTGTTTTATATGATGATATGATGATTATGCTATGCTTATATGAATACATATGATGAGGTTTATATGATGATGTTGGTGAATACATGAATGATGATGCGTATGACTAGTTGTGGTCATTTATATTGTTGTTACGCATCATGCATTCATTGGACAACTTTGGTCCATTTTGTTGATTTAGGATGTTGGTCCAGTGATTTTTTCTCAATCCCATTGTATGGATTTGGGATGTCTATGATTTTCTCCGGTTCCAAGTGGGAATCGATCCTATGATTGGGGTCTTTGGAGGGTGATGGCCCAGTGTCCATCAAATGAATTGGTACCACATGCATGAGTCTATGTCCTTGCACTACATCTTATGTGGCATTGCATGGTTCTTAAATTGATGATGTTGTATTGTGTTATTGAATTTGTATGATTGTTGAGGTACATGGAATATAACAATGTTGAGTTTATGTTGTGATACTTTTGGTTTATTCTGCTATGTTTATTACTTACATCTTATATAATGATTATGATGAACTCACCCTTTCAGCTTGAATGTTGCCTCTACGTTGGTAACGTGCAGGTAATCAGGAGTAGTCCCTAAAGGCTTGGAAGAATAGCTTGGAGCATGTGTTTTATTTCCATTGAGTCT